AAGTAGACTTCAAGAGAAAATTGTTGTTGTTGTTGTTGTTGTTAGGTGCCATCGAGTCAGTACTGACTCATAGTGACCTTATGTACAACAGAACAAAACACCGCCAGATCCTGGGCCAACCTCACTATTGTTGCCACGCTTGAAACCATCGATGCTGCCACCTGGCCAACCCATCTTGTTGGGGATCTTCCTCTTTTTCTCTGACCCTCCAACTTACCAAACATGATATCTTTCACCAGTGAATGGTCCCTACTGACAATATGTCTGAAGTATGAGAGACAAAGTTTGGCCATCTTGGCCTCTAAGGAGCACTCTGGCTGCACTTCTTCCAAAACGGATCTATTGGTTCTTTTGGCAGCCCATGGCACTTTCAATATTCTCCTCCACCACCATAACTCAAAAGCTTCAATTCTTCTACGGTCTTCTTTATTCACTGTCCAGCTTTTGCATGCATATGAGGTTATTGAAAATACCATAGCTTGGATCAGATGCATCTTAGTTCTCAAGCTGACATCTTTGCTCTTCAACACTTTAAAAAGGTCTTGTGCAGCAGATTTGCCTAATGCAATACATTGTTTGATTTCTTGACTGCTGCTTCCATGAGTGTTGATAGTTGATCCAAGAATAATGAAGTCCTTGACAACTTCAATCTTTTCTTCGTTGATAAGAATGTTGTTTATTGTTCCAGTGGTGAGGATTTTTGTTTTCTTTACATTAAGATGTAATCCATACCGAAGGTTATGTTCTTTGATCTTCATCAGTAAATATTTTAAGTCCTCTTCACTTTCAACAAGCAAGGTTGTATCATCTGCATATCACAGGCTATTAAATATTGTTAGCTCCTATTTATCTGGGTTAAAGGGTAAATTAAGGAACACATTCTCATTCATATAAAGCATTGACTACCTAATGAAAATGCACACAGTTGACAGGAAGATCGCTAGACAGCTGCTATGGAATCCTGGTGGCACAGGTGGTTAATTGCTTGGCTGAGAGCCGAAAAGTCAGCCCTTCAACTCCAGCCCAGGACAGAGATGTGGTAGCCGCTTCTTTAACGACTATACCAAACCCACTGCAGCTAAGTTGGTTCCTACTCATGGTGACGTGTAGGGTGTCCACATCTTTTCTCCTGCAGTGGGGCTGGCGGGTTAGCAGTCAAGTGCTTTAACCACTGCACCACTGAGGCCCTTTCCTTCAAGATGACAACCTTGGAAACTCTATGGGGGCATTTCTGTGGAGTCCCACAGGGTCACCAGGAGCGGGAGCAGACTTCACCACAGTGGGTTGACAAGGTATACAGCTGTACTGCAGGTATCACGCAAAACTCCACCCCATGATAAGCTGCAAGTGGCAAGGAGTGCCTGAGGTGGCTGTGGGTTAGGAGACCTTAAGAGCGTGGCTTCGAACTGGTTAGCTCCATTTCTGCCCTTTTGTTGGTTGTTGTTGTTCAGTGCCTTTGGATTGGTTCTGACTCAGAGACCCTGTATAGGTTTTCCGAGGAGTGGCTGATGAGCTTGAACTGCCAACCCTGCGGTTCAAACTGACCTGACAGTCCAGTGCATTAACCCACAGCGCCACCCTAGGACTCCAGAATTTACACTTTTACAATATTCCTGGAAGATGTGAATTGGTATCTTTGGGGCGGAGGGCACATGCCGAGCAGGGGTTGTATCTGGTTCAAAGATCTGCTTGGATCTGAAGCTATTGCTTGCATTTTTAGAATAAAGAAGGGGGTTAGAGGAGAGTAACACAGCAAAGCAGTGTGGCACTGTGGGCTAGTGCGTCAGACTGCAAAGTCATTTGAAGTGGAAGGTCGGTGGTTCAAGCTCACCAGCTGCTCCTCGGAAACCCTATACAAGGTCAGTAGGGGTCGGAATCAACTCGATGGCACTTAACAACAACAACCCTGAGACCAGAAGAACCAGATGGTGCCTAGCCCCGACTACCAATTTCTCAGAAAGGGATCACACTAAAAGGTCCCAGGTAGTGTGGGCTTGTGTGGTGCTACAGGATAAGCACTGGACTGCTAACTGAAAGGCTGACAGTTCAAACCCACCAGCCACTCCTTGAGAAATCTTGCACAGGGTCGCTATGAGTCAGAACCAACTCCTGGTGCTTAACAACAGACAGAGTGGGAGAAAACATAGAACATAACTCAAAATCATACAAAAGTCAAAGCTTACTGGCCAGAAAGAAGCTGGAGGAACCCCGAGACGATGGCCCTTGGTCATCCTTCACGTCTGGAAGTGAACTCACGCCTATGGCTCAATTTTCCATTGGGCAGTAGGGAGATGTGGCACTGTAGGATAAGCGCAGGACCGGAAGGTCAGTTTGAACCCCAGGTCAGTGGCTCACACTTACCAGTCAGTCCTCAAAAACCCCATCTGGGTTGCTGAGTTGGAACCGACTGACTGAAGGACATTTATCAACAACAACAACAGACAGGCATATTGGTGACGGAGTATACCATAAAATGGCCAAGCATTCAAGACCAAAAGGGCACCCGCATTGACCTACAGACAGAATTCAGTAGAGTAGGGAGAGAAGGAGGAATGGACAGGAGACACACAGGGAGGAAGCAGAATCGAGATGTTTCGGTGCAGGGGACTGTTAATGAGATGAAATGAACGGCACCGTTTGTTGAAGCCAAAACTGACGGCCTGCTCTGTAAACCACTCAATTTGTGATGAAAATTAAAGAAAAAATCCTTTGTCTTTTAACAGTAATTTTATTCATCTTGTAGTCAGCATAGTTAAGACAATGCCCTATGACAATCCATTGGGAAAGTTAGTTTTCAGGACATGTAAGGCAGACGAGGATTCTCCTTTCTGTGGTACCCAGCCATGCAGAGCATACAAGTAGTAACAACACCGCAAGTGGTATTGGGAAACAGCGCAGACTTTCGTACAAATGGATCATTAAAGCAAGAAGAGGCGGCAGCAGCGACAGAACTTCACAGGAAGGAGCTTCTCAGGGTCTCAGAACCAGGCAGCCCACTCTGGGGGAGTGTGCCTATGGGGACACAGCCCCCAGAGCCATTCAGACAAGGTCCAACACTTGGGTTTACCTCAGGAGACTCAGAGATGCCAAAGACAATTGCTTTATGGGCTCACGCAATGATGGGGAAAGAAAAATCAGGCCAACATCCATTTAATACTGAAATCCCTATACACAAATGTTCTACCGAATGTTGGAGACATTGGAAGTTAAACCACTGTCGTCGTGGTGCACCAACGGGCAGGTTCTGACTCAGAGACACTATAGGACCGAGGAGAACTGTCCTGTGGGGTTTGCTCTGTCACACACGGTTGCTTGACTCCAGGGCGCTCCATGATGACACCATCTCTACTGGGACAGATCCCCAGAGCCTCACTTGCTGGTGGGTTCAAACTGCCAACCTTTCTGTCAGCATTGTCATGCCCCCAGAGCTCCTTCTGAAAACCACTGACTAAGAGGACATGGTGGATGCACTGAACTGTGGTGGGGGGGCCCAGGGTGCAGGGGCTCTGGTCTGGAGGGTGACTGTGTGGAGCACCCTGAGGACTTGGTGGATGCACTAAAGCTGGGGCGGGGGGCCCAGGGTGCAGGGCTCTGGTCTAAGGGTGGCTGCATGGAGCACCCTGAGGACTTGGTGGATACACTGAAGCTGGGGCGGGAGGCCCAGGGTACAGGGGCTCCGGTCTAAGGTGGAGCCCCTTAGGGGTCCTGGAGTAAAAGCAGTCCCGTTTCCAGTGTCTCTCAGCCTGCTGTCTCCAAATGAGTTGCAGAAATGCTGCTTTGTCCTCAAGCCTTATGTGCTGTCAGAATGGGGTGGGGCTCTCCTGTGTGCTCCCAGGCATCCTGAATGCAAGACTTTCGCATCCAGCATCCACTTGCTGACCTTGACTAACTGATCAAGGATGGTCCCCAAGTCCCTGGCAGCAGCTCCTGGGTGCTCCTTCCAAGGTACCCTGAGTGCAGGAAGTCCTGGGACAATATCACCTTTTTGCAGTTCTGTTGTTGTTGTTGTTGTTAAGTGCCTTCGAGTCGGTTCTGACCCATAGCGACCCTGTACAGGGTTTCCAAGGGTGTAAATCCTTACGGGAGTAGAAAGCCTCATCTTTCTCCCGCGGAGCGGCTGGTGGTTTCGAACCGCTGACCTTAAGGTTCGCAGCCCGATTCATAACCACTACGCTACCAGAGCCTCCTAGGGACTTAGATAACAGTAACAGTGCATTCGAAATGTCTCCTTCCATGTAGACCAAAGGATCCTAAGGACTCAAGGACAAAGAGGCCTAAAGTCTTGAGTCAGGGAGTGTCCACCTACAGCCTGGGGCCCTTTTGTCTACCCCAAGCACCCCAGTTAGGAAAGATGCCCCCTATGAAAGTACATGTGCTCCCGAGACCACGACTGTACCCACAAACAAGTCAGCACCTCCAAGCCCTGCAGGGTGAGCAGTCTGTGGGCGATGATGGGAACAGCAATTAAGTTCAATCACTGAGGAAGGTTCTAAAAGGGATGGAGAAGTTTGCCCAGACATGAGGTTGTCCAAGAGGGCTCATAAAGTCAGCTCTCGTGAACACTCAGCCTCACTACAGTAACACCACGACGAGGAATCAAAGTCAGAGACACCGGCAGCAGATCCAGCCAGTGTTGGTTGTCCCTTGCCTCAGCATCATTCTGCCTGCATTAGCAGTGTTTGATTCATTTTCCATTAGCTCACACATTTACTGTTGTTGCGGTTGTTGAGTGCCGTCGAGTTGATTCCTTCCAAGAAGAAGCTGGTGCTCTTCAACCACCGACCTTGCAGTTCAAATGACTTTGCAGTCTGACGCATTAGCCCACAGCGCCACACCAGGACTCCCACACATTTACTAGGGGTTTTAAAAACTTCATAGAGCAAATTTGAACAAAGATGACATGCCCGGAAGAATGATACAAAGCAAATTCATTTATAACTGTCCCTACAGAGGAATCATGGAAAATCTTCAGGCCTAAAACAACTTCACTGACTACGAACTTAACATAAAAATGGAAACAGCATTTTCCTGGACTTTGGATAATCTTCAAACTTCCTAAGGTACCACCTACAACAAGGAGAGAAGAACATTTTAAAAAGGGAAACAATCTTTATGACTTAAACACGAGTATTAAACAGCAATTGTTGAAATTAATTTAATGCAACATTACATTTAATTAATCTTGCTAACATACAAGACAATTTTTTTTAAGTTGTAATCAAGACTTCTGCATTCCAGATGTTGTTAAGTGCACTCAAGTTGGTTCTGACTCATAGCGACCCTCTATCTATAGGGTTTCCGAGGCTGTACATCTTTGCAGAAGCACAAAGTTTCATCTTTCTCCACAGAGCGGCTGGTAGACTTGAACCATTAATCTCGTGGTCCACAGTCCAGTGCTCATTGTACAGAGTCACCACGCTCCTGCATTTCACACACACAGTGTAACTTTGTCTGTTTCAGGAGTAAGTAAATACATCTGGTTACAGAGTCTACACTTCAGACACCTGGTAGCATGGTGGTTACGAATTGGGCTGCAAACCTTATGGTCAGCAGTTCGAAACTACCAGCTGTTCCGCGGGAGAAAGATGAGGCTTTCTACTCCCATAAATATTTACAGCCTCGGAAACCTTGTACAGGGTTGCTTTGAGTTGGAACCAACTCCGTGGCACATAACCACCATCACCACCACCAATGTAACTTTGTCTGTTTCAGGAATAAGTAAATACATGTGGCTACAGAGTACATTTCAGACAACTAGTGTAACTTTGTCTGTTTTAGGAGTAAGTAAATACATCTGGTTAGAGAGTCTACATTTCAGACACATAGTGTAACTTTGTCTGTTTCAGGAGTAAGTAAATACATTTGGTTACTGAGTCCCTCATTTCAGACACACAGTGTAACTTTGTTTCAGGAGTAAGTAAATACATTGGGTTATGGAGTCCCTCATTGCAGACACACAGTGTAACTTTGTTTCAGGTTTAAGTGACTGAGTGTGATGTAGGGAAAATGACTGGTGTGTGGTAAGATGCTGACTAGCATCTTGAGGAGAGAAATTTCCGGATGGCAGGGGCAAGGATGCCAGATTAGGATAAAAAGGGGGGACCAAGCAGGTATGCTTTAACTATCTTCTTCTGGAGGTCTGAGTGTTCTTCAGTCCCCAGAGGACAATTGGTCCAGACCAGAGTCTGTGAGGTGCTCCACATACAGCCCTGAGTGAGGGTTTCCTACCAACTTGGAGTTGTAAAATATCAGCCACTGGAAACCCTAGGTGCACACAAGGTCACCATGAGTTGTAATTGGCTCACCGGCAGCTGGTTATCAACCTGGAAAAAACCTGACGTGGCCTCATTGCCTGGGGTGTCCATGGGCACAGAAGACCAAAAACCTTGGTGGAGAGCAATCAGCTACTGGCTGACTCCACAGTCCACACACAGTACTCTGCAGATTTGGGGTGCGCTTAGTACTGTCCCCCCACAAACCCAAAATATGTATCCACTAATGTTCTGTGTGTACATCAAAAACGTCACCTGATTGGAGCTCCCCTCCCTGCAGAAGGCTTCAGTTAAAGCGTCCCAGGGCCAAGCTCCGTGTGGGGCTGTGTAGACCAGAGCATCGTTTCTCCGGTGGTGGCCATGAGTGGTCCGTGAGATCCAGTGTGTCACAGGACTAACGGCAGCTCCTGGCTCATGCAATGCCTTGTTGGTTATTGGAAGCTTTTCTAGGACTGCTAGGGACCCAGGGCTCCACTATGAAAATCCAACCAGGAACTTCCCTGGGGTCCATGGGGCTGGACACTGTGGAAAGGGAGATGGGGCAAGCTTCTCTCTCCTAGAAACGTCCCATGGGAGCTGGAAACACAGTCCCACCACAGCTCTGCCTAGTCTTGTTTGGTTGTCTCTGACTCACGGAGATCTTGTGCATAACAGAAGGAAATGTCTGGTCCTACAGCATCTTTTTGTTTTTTAAGTTTTTATTGTGTAGTGAATTGAGTGAAAGTTTACAGCGTAGATGATTAGTTTTACATTCAACAAATCATATACTTTGTTTCATTACAATGATTATAATCCCTTACACATACCATCAGTTAACAGTATTTCTCTCTATTCACTTTTGCTCCTTTTTTTTTTTTTTTTTTTAACACTCAGGCATATACAATAATTTACACCACCAAAGGGTACATTCTGCAAGCCTGCCTCCTGGCCACCAACTCTCAATCCCTCTCTTTCCAGGAATCTAGAGTCCTCAGCCACTCCCCCTTCTCTATGTCGCCATCTCTGCCTCTATCTCTGGCATTGCTGCTTCTCTGGATAAGGTCCTGCATTCCACTTGTGCTCTTCTCCCTTGATGGTCCTAGAGTTCTCTGTTCCTGGATTGTAAGATTAACAACTCACCCGTTTGTTTTTTTACAAAACTTCTACGTTTATAGTTGTGACAGTCACAATTAGTCATGTTAAGAATTATTCACTACTGAATCATAAGAATCTTATCCCCATCTCTTTTTACCAGACCCATTTAGATGAGATGAAACTCTTCATCCGGCAGCCTCTTTGTGATCGCTGAGTCCACAGTTGGGGTAATTGAGTCCTTGCGTCTCGTGAAGGTGTCCCTCGTTTTCTCTGACCTCTACTTCACCAAACAGGATGTCCTTTTCTAGAGGTTGGTCTTTCCTCATGATGTGTCCAAGGTAAGAGAGCCAAAGCCTCATCACCTATGGTTCTAAAGAAGATTCTGTGTTCCTTCAGAGACTGACTTACTCACTCCACGGGTGGTCCACAGTGTCTTCAACAGTCTTTGCTGACATCATAATTCAAATGCCTCATTGCCTCATTACTTTCTTGTCCCACTGCCTAGGGTTCAGATGCATATGAGGGGACCTAGAAGACGTGGTTTGGGCCAGGTGCATGTGAATCATCGAAGAGGCATCTCCGCTTTTGAGAATTCCGAAGAGGTCTCTCACTGCAGATATGCCCAACACAATAAATACATCGTTTGCTTTCTTGTCTGTTCCTTGCATGGGCGATTATTGCTTATCCAAGTGGAATGCAGTGGTTAACAACTTCAAGTTTTTTCTTTGTTTATCATGTTATTGCTTATTATTGGCCTGGGGGTGAGGATTTTTGGTGGCGTAATCCATGCTTTGCTTGTTGTCACTACATAAACTGTACAGTGGGTGAAATCCAAAAGATCTCCCGAGCCCCATCACAAACAGCGCATTGTGGGTGCTTGGTGTCATCTAGTTGGTTCTGACCCATGCCAACGCCATGTACAATGACACACTGCGCTGTCCTGTGCAGTATCCCCAGATTTCCTTTTGATTTTAGAAACATTTTACTGTGAATTTGGGTGAAAGTTGAGAGCGAACTGGTTTGGTATTTGCCTTCTCCCACACGCTTTGCTCTGTGACATGAACTGCAATGCCTACAGTGTAATAGCACTCTTCCTGTTTCCCCTGTTTGCTGTTCCCTATCCCTTCCTGCCTTCCAGGCTTTCTTTCTGACACAGGCTGTCCCTTAGCTCTGTGTGCTGTGGCTGACTGCTGGGAGGAGAAGAAGGGACCTCCCTGGAGCTATCTGTTGTTTGGCTAAAGGTAGAGTTGGGGTGGGGGTGGGGAGTATGGGAGGGGGTCTGAGGGCCGTGGTTTCAGGGCTCCACCAGTCTCTATCTTGTTTTTCTTATGACTTTTCTCCCACTCAATCCAAGAGACTCTGTTGGGATCCCTTTTCAGAGCAGTTGGTAGTGCTGGGCATCATCTAGCTTTTCTAGTGTCATGGAGGCTGTGATTTGCATGGTCCTTCGGTTCCCCACATTTCTTGAATAACAATCCTTCTGAAGTACTGAGCAGCCCGCTTCAAAGCACCTACATACAAGGCTTATATGTAAGTCTTCCAGTCTGAGGCTAGGAGGGCTGGGAGAGCAAGGAGGCATCCCGTAAGTACATTCTGTGTATCTTTATTATTCATTTAGAACCTGTGACCATTGCACCTTCAACCACGGTGTCTTGAAGGCACACTGAGTTCAATTCTTAAGTCACATTACACTTAACCAACAGGGAGGCGCTGTGGTCAGTTTTAATTTCCGATGTGCACCTTCTCTGCGTGGCGCTGGGAAAGAAGCAGCCCTGACCTCGAAGAGAATGCCTGTTCCTAAGTGCCAGCGCTGGCCTCATGACCTGCATGAAGGTCTGGATAGAAACACCTGGCCGCCACTCGTCACAGAGCGTATATTCCATGTGCTGAAGCTCTGTTTCCGGAGCACGCTTTTCCACCAGTTACAACACAAGGCTTGCTTTCCAGTGGAGTCGCAGTGGGCTCCCTGTATTATTAGTGGAGAAAGACACAGTAGTCTGGGTTTTGTCCAAGGTGAGTCCCACTTTGTAAGGTGACATTTAAATGGCCGGCGGCTGACCAAGAGTCCTTTGAACCCCTGATCCTTCTACAAAGGATGGCTTCGGGTCCCCAGCATCAGAGCCCTGTCTTTGGTTTCTACGTGCATCATATTCTGATGCCCAGAATAAGTAGCCCTACAGCAAACTTGGATTTTCCTGTTGAATGGTCCTTTGAATTCATTTTGGAAAATATCAGTGTTGCCTTATTGTGGGTGTGTGGGTGTGTGGGGAATCTCTGTTTCATGCTGTCACCAAATTTTCTTCATGATGTTTAGTATCATCAGGAGAAATGCTGATAATCACTCTGTAAGGAATGTAGAGGAACAACCTTTTCCCTGGAAGATGGGATGGCTCCGCACAGGCTTGTTTGGTGCTGAGGCCGGCACTGGATGGGTGGCGGGTGTGGGGCACACAGGGCTTGGGGTCATGCCTTTGGTACCTCCAGCTTGGTGTCATTGTTTCCAGGACTCTGTTATGTATAAGGCGCCCCAATGATGATGTGAATTAGGCATTGGCCTGCTAAGCTGCACGGTCAACAGTTGGAAGCCTGCTGCTGTACAGGAGAAAGAGGAACCTATCTGCTCCCCTAAAGAGTTAGTCCACTCTGGCCTGATGGCACACTGACTAAGTGTCCAGTAGCCACTGTGCAGGACAATCTGCTCCTATAAAGATTTACAGAAACCCCACAGGGCACTTCTGCCCTGCCCCATAGGGCCCCTGAGTAGGAATCCACTTGATGGCTGGGCTTTGGTGGCACTGTGGTTAAGTGCTCAGCTGCTAACACTGAAAGGTCGGTGGTTTGAACCTACCAGCTGCTCCACGGGGAACGATGAGGCAGTCACCTGGGAAACCTGACGGCCTTAGGGTCACCGTGAGTTGGAGTTGGCTGGATGGCATTGGGTCAGCTTCTTTGGTTTATTCAGTGTTTGTAGTCCAAAGCTGAGCCGAATCTCCTCCCCCAGCCCTGTTGGGAGAGTACAACTTGCTGGCTCTGAAGAAGTGCTTCACCTATAGTGGCCTAAGGCATGGGGAAGTCTCTAGTTTAATAGCTTCATCTGACAGAGTAGAAACCTAGGTCTTCAGGGACCCCACAAGTGACCCGTTGACTTCATGTGACAGAAAGACTGGCCCCCCACCTCCCTGGAGGCTCCTTGCCTCCAGTGCCCCTTTCCACCAGGTGATTCCTGGGATGGCTCTAGCCCGTGGACAGGTCCTGGCTGTGACTCTCCGTCCCTCCTCACTGGCCACATACCATGCTTGCTGGCAAAGGGAGTCTCAAGAAAACCCAGTTCCCTGCCACCTCCATCCTTCATCACCTCCCAAAGCAGCTGTCTGCGTCTGTAAGCAGGAGGCCAAGCAGGAGACAGAGCTGGCCTTTTGACACTGAGCAGTGGGCACTTGGTTCTCCATGCTCTCCAGCGGGCCTTCGTTGAGTGTTTCATCTCTGTCCTGACTAAAGGGGATGGTGCGCTCCAGGCAGCAGGATGATGTCACCCTCGGGGTGCACAGGCATCTGAGTGAACGGTGCTGGAGAGCATGAGTCACATGTGCTAATACCTACCAGAATAACGTGTCACAGAGTTGGCTGTCATAGGGGACTATGAAGAAACCAAACAGGCGCAGCCCTGAGGGGCATCCAGATAGCCAAGAGGGACGCAGGTCTCTCACTCCTGACACAGACAGCCCTTCCGCCTGGCTTTGGTCCTTTAGCTCCGAGTCTTCATCTACTGGATTAGAAAGACGCTCCCAAGCTCACCTCAGCCCTGATGCCTTCTATTCCCAAGCTCACCTCGGCCCTGATGCTCTTTGTTCCCAAGCTCACCTCGGCCCTGATGCCCTTTACTCTCAAGTTCACCTCAGCCCCAACATCTTTTGAGTTTTTTTTTTTGTTTTTTTTTTTAGTTTACTGGCTGAAAGGATCCCTGTTGCGGATCTAATAAAAGACTGGGGGCCACCTGTCAGGAACTCAAGGCACAACGCTGGGGCCATTTCACCGGCGGCTCAAGAGCTTATGAGCAAATGTGGTTTGTTGTGAGGAGCAGTCTGATGCTACCACATCCCTCCCTCTCCAGGGCTTCTAGGAACGGCAGGATTCCATGGATATGGAATGTCAATTCCATCCAACTGTTCCAATTCACACTGTGAGTCTCTACTTGATGTAGACCTTGACCCTTGGGTTGAACAGCTTAAATCCAAAGTGGTGGAGAATGAGGTCGGGAGATTGACGGTGCTCACACGTGCCTGATGCTTCCTTGTGGAGATCTCTCTGAGGAAGGAAACTGCCTCAGGATCCATGGTGGACTGGACTGTTTTCATTGGCTGCTTTATGGGAGTGTTGATCTTCAGGCCTTCCTTCCTCATCCACCATAGTCTGGCAGCTGCTGACACCTGTTCAGCATCTGGCACACGCAGACCACCTCTGACCTACAGGTGGTGGGTGCACATGAAGTGTACCAGCCGGGTCTCCCACATGGAGAATGTGGCTTCCCTCTCAGGATCCCCACTGCCCCGTCCACAATGCTTCCTTACAGCTGGAGGTTCTGCTGGTGTCTGTTTGTCTTGCGCTGGTTTCACTAAAGCATGACTTACATGGATTCAGCTACTCCAGTTCATACCAGCTTCTACCCTAACCCGGAAGCAAACTATGACAATAAAGCCAGAGAGCAAGTGACAGATGCTGACAGGCTCCTGAAAACTTACCGGTGATGCTGCTGTGCTCGGGAGAATAAGACACAAAATGTGAAGAATGCGAAGGCACCCCCTTGGAGAGACCAGCTGGCCAGCGCATAGCCACACCACTCCACCAGCTCCCCAAAGTAGTTGGCGGCAGTCACGTATTCAAACAAGCCTCCTAGGAGAGACACGGAGCATAGCAGAGTGCTTACCACAACATGGTGGCCCAAGAGAAGGGACGCAATCCCAGGGGGCTTCAGAAAGTTCATGGAACAATGGAATTGAAAGAGAATGGAATTTCGCCATGAATCCCTTGAAGTCTACTCATACTTGCTTGGGGAACATCAATTTAATTCAGAGAAAAGAGAAGCCTGGCAGAATTTGGATTGGCATGGCACAGCCAATATGATAGGGCTGGCTATTTGCCAGTGTGGCTTCCTCTCACCTATGTATCTAGGTCAGCACACACTATCAATCTAACCAGACAGGCCCCACATGCCGCCTCACTGGTTAATGGACAGAGCCACCAAGCCTAAGCAAACATAGAGAACAGTGGACCGAGTTCATGGACTCTCACTGAGCGCTGGGCCAGCACTGGAAGCCAGTGTCCATTTCCAAACAGAACCATTCGTGTATCATACCTTACCTGCAGCCCCTTCTCACCTGGGAACCTCCCCCATCTCACCAACAGTAACTGCAGGATCATCAAGAAGAGGCTCCCTGGGTGGCACAGAAGGTTAAGTGCTTGACTGGTAGCTGAGAGGTTGGTGGTTCAAACCCACCCAGAGGAGTCTCAGGAAAGATAGGCCATGGCGATGTGCTTTGGAAAGGTCAGCGCCTTGGAGGGCCGATGGAACTGTTCTACTCTGACACACGGGATGGATCAGCAGGAGTTGGAATCAACAGGACAGGAGCAATAATCAACATGGGCAGTGTGCATGCAGTACAAGCTGGGGTGCTGAGCTGTGTGGGGCAGGCACCGAGGGCAGCCCCAGGCCCTGAGGCATCCAGAATGGCTCTCACTGAGAAATGAGGGTGGGGCCAGCAGGAACTGAGGGATGGGTCTCTGAGCCGGAGGGGCCACAGCAAAGGTCCTCAGGGTCTGGACAGAGGGGACGACACAAGGTAGGTCCTTGGATGTCAGCGTAAGTCTGGGATCTATCTTCTCCATGGGGTGAAAGAGGGACCCACTGGGGATGTCCCACAGAGGCCACGCATCATCTGCTCTAGGGTCCACTGGCCCTGCGTGCCACACCACGAACACGCTGTAGAGTGGAAAGCGGAGTGATCATACCCTAAGTCCAACACCTGTTCCAACAAGTGCCACAGGCCAGCGTACAGACACACGTGACCAAACAAGACGAGAGTCCAGCCTCTTTGCTTCCCAGAAAGAAAGGGAGTGGTTGGAGTCCACGGCCGAGCTCTACTCTGAGTGAGCCTGGTGGTGCCCACAGATGTTACTTGACACTGCTGTGCCCCGTGTGCATGCTGTACCGGAGTCAGACAACATGTGGCTGGTGAAACTCTTTGAGGATGCGCACTGGAGCACGCAGACTGGCCTCCCCTCCGACAGCAAAGCTTCTTCAGTTTCACATGAGTGCCACTGTCCTCTACACCTGTCTGTCCGTCATTAGGATGACACCTGAGAAAGAACTCGTGCACTCAGGTGCTGGCTGGGGCCCAATGTTAGGGCCATAGAGGGAACCTGGCCAGTCGTGCTTCATCGGGAAGGCATGTGGCCTCAGGCAAGGTCAGGGGACTCAGGATAGTGGGTCCTTTCCACTCTGTCTCAGTGACTCCCCTCCGGTCTGCAGAGCACACTGCAGCTGGGTCACACAGGTGGGCTAGCATGCCTGGAAGGATTCACAAAAGCCCCAAGAAGCCAGTCTGCTACAACTCCAACATGTCCCCTCGGCATGGAGGTGGCTCACTTCACGTACAAAACTGATCCCTATGAGGCAGATGTTGGAGGGCCCCCAAACACCCACTTTTTCCAAACTGCAGCAGCATAGCACCTTCTCTGACATTAGCTCCTCCTTGTCCCCTCAGTGCTCTCCCTCCGAGTCTCTGGGTTGCCGAATTTGGCTTTGTTACAACATCTCCCAGAACGCCTGGACCATGGAAGAAATGACTCATGTGGTTGTGGAGGCCGACCAGTCCCAAATTCAGGAGCCAGATGTCATCCTGAAGGGCTCTGCCAGCCCATGTGGCTGCAGGGGTTTGAGGAACTCCAGCAGGAGGGTCAGTGGCTGCTGACTCACAGGGCTCTGGGACCTGGCAAGTCTGTCCGACGGCAGGCTGCTGGCTCAAGTCCCAAGAAGTGCAGGTCAGGTGATGATGAGCCAGAAGCCGGATCCAGAGCAAGACAAGAGTTTTCTCAGCACATTTCTGTATATTGGATGCAGACCAATCGCATAGGGAACTCTCCTTACTTGAGAAGTACAAAGGTGTGAAGGGGGGGCACCTGGGGTAAGGGAGGTGACTTGAATCACACCCTCTAGTAAGACTCAACATGCATACCACCCTGATCCTGCCTCGTTACCATAACAGACAACACACTCCAAAACAGGTCCACAGTCATGTTGTTGTTGTTAGGTGTCATCAATTCCTACTCATAGCGACCGTATGCACAACAGAACGAAAACACTGCCCGGTCCTCGGCCAACCTCACAATTATAGTTAAGTTTGAGCCCATTGCTGCTGCCACTGTGCCAATCCATCTCGTTGGGGGTCTTCCTTTTTCTCTGACTCTCCACTTAACATGATGTCCTCCAACGACTGGTCCCTCCTGACAGTATGTCCGAAGTACGAGAGACAAAGTCTTGCCATCCTGACCTCCAAGGAGCACTCCAGTTGTATTTCTTCCACCATAGATTTGTTTGTTCTTCTAGCAGACCATGGCACTTTCAATATTCTCCTCCATCGCCATCACTCAAAAGCATCAATTCTTCTACGGTCTTCCTTATTCACTGTCCAGCTTTCACATGCATATGAGGTTATTGAAAATACCATGGCTTGGGTCGGGTGCACCTTAGTCCTCAAGCTGACATCTTTGCTCTTCAACACTTGTGCAGCAGATTTGCCTAATGCAATATGTCATTTGATTTCTTGACTGCTGCTTTCATGAGTGTTGATGGTTGATCTGAAGTCTTTGACAATGTCAGTCTTTTCTCCATTGATATGGATTCTTTTTATTTGTCCAGTGGTGAGGATTTTTGTTTTCTTTACATTGAGGTGCAATGTACTGTCAGTCATAGAGGCTAGGATTCACAACACATCACCAAATAGAGGACCAGGGCTAGATGGGCCACGTTTAGCAATTTACTGCAGTACACTTCAGGACAACACATTGCCAAGCAATAAAACCATGAATAGCCACAACCGTCGGGAAGAGAGATGCGGTTTCCTGGCATCAGTGCTCTGAGCTCTGGTGGGTGTCTCTTTCCTGGGTGGCCCCTCAGGCTGCCCTCTCTCCAGGTATCAGTCTGGCTCAGGAGGGCCCCTGTCATAGGACCACCCATCTTAAAAGGGGTGCTGTGGTGAGCCTGCCACCTTGGTGGTCCATTTTTCCATCCTGCCCCTCCTTGGCCAAGCTCAGGGCAGGCTCTCCTCCTCCTGCCTTTAGGAATCACACTGTTCTCCACACAAGAGGGGTGAGACAGGGGGGCAGGGGCAGTCCACAGCCTTTGTGTCCCCTCCACCCTCCAAGCTGTATGTTCCGACATGAGACTGCACCCTCCAGAGAAAGAAGGTCCTTTCATCCAGTGCTCATGGTGCACTCTAGCCGCCTGCCACATACCCAGGCGAGGTTCCCCAGGACTCTCAGGAGCTGGGTTTGAGACTCTGCCAGCTTTCTTTCTTCCCCACCACACTGATGGAACCACTGTGGCTTCCAGAGGAGAGGTCCACTAATTCTGGGTTCTGGGTGCCACAATCTTTGAGGGGGCTTCTTGGAGAAATTCCACTGTGTTTCAAGTCCAGGTTTCCATGAGCGAAGTCCCCTTACATTTCAGTGGGGTGTATCAGTGTTCTGGTCGTTTGCTTGCTTTTGTTGTAATTCTCCTGATAGGGTTTGACAGCAAACGAAGTGATGTCAGGTGTAGCAGCTCCCTGAAATTTTCAGCTTCATTTCCTGGGATTCTTCTCTTTAGATGCCGTCTTAGCCATGGTATAGCATCTCACTTCTTGCCTTGTAATTTCAACCCCCTTTTCCTTCAAGTTCCCCTTTTTATTGTGAATCAGTTTTCCATTCAACGGCGCATCCACATTTTGTTTCATTCATCAACTGCAATCCCCACAAGGGACCATCACTCACCCCACTTCCTGTTTCCTGCCACCTTCTTCCCTAACCCTTCTGAGCTTTGTCCTTGGCTGAACGCTGCCCTTTGGATCTCAGTGACCATCTGTCCAGAGGTGTGTGTACCTCACTAGAGTTATTGTTCACGTCATAGACGTGTATAGCGTTTGGCTGACAACTGAGCCATGGGGTGAGTTCATTTCCAGACCTGAAGGGTGAGTACAAGTGATAGTCTCAGGGCCCCCTTCTGTATTTAATGACATTTTGAGGACTCGGTGTGGTGCTGTGGGTTAATGCACCAGACTATAAAACTGTTTGAACTGCAAAGTTGGCAGTTAAAGCTTACCAGATGCTCCTCGGAAACCCTATACAGGGTCGCTATGGGTCGGAACTGACTCAATGGCACTTAACAACAACAACATGGTACCCAAGCCGTGGTATTGTCAGTAACCTCATATGCATGTGAAAGCTGGACAGTGAATAAGGAAGACTGTAAAAGAATTGATGCATTTGAATTATGGTGTTGGAGGAGAATAGTGAAAGTGCCCTGGGTTGCCAAAAAGAACCAACAGGTCTGTGTTGGAAGAAGTGCAGCCAGAGTGCTCCTTGGAGGCCAGGATGGTCACACTTCATCTCTCATACTTTGGACATATTATCAGGAGGGACCACTCTCTGGAGAAGGATATCATGTTTGGTAAGGTGGAGGGTCAGAGAAAAAGAGGAAGACCCCCAGTGAGATGGATTGGCCAAGTGGCAGCATCGGTGGGCTCAAGCATGGCAACAACAGTGAGGTTGGCTCAGGACCAGGCAGTGTTTCATTCTGTTGTGCAGAGGGTCGCTATGAGTCGGTACCGACTTGATGGCACCTGACAACAACAACTAACTGTAGTATTAAAACTAGGGTCTTTCAAGTTTCCTCATGGGTTTCCTAACTTCTCAGTGGGGCTCTAACTCCATCATTCTCGGGGATCTTAGGTGAAGGCAGCTTCCTACAGTGGACATGGGCTTGCTTTCTGCATCAGTGCCTGCCACCCTGAGAGCATGGGGGTGGGGTGGGGTGAGTACAGGACGTGACTTGTGACTTGTCACTCCACCAAGGGTGTAAGCCTGGATGATGGGGGGCATCTGGGATGACAAATTCTCGCTCGATGCTCTTTGGCTTCTAGAACTCATTGCCATCTTGCTCTGGATAAACTTCCTGGTTCTCTTTTGAGTGTAATAATGAAACAGATGTTTGTCTGAAAGAATTTCCTCCAAGATTTTACACTGTTTGCAGAGACAGAAGCAGTTGAGGGATCAGCAGGCTGCCTGAAACCAAGTCCTAAACACTCCTCATAAGCCATCAAGTCTTCTCCTCAAACAAAGATAGAAAGGGGGGCCCTTTCTGCCGAATGACCGTTCAGTGGGTCTGAATGAAGGAGCCCTGGTGGCACTGTGGACTAAGCAATGGGCTGCTCACAAGATCGGTGGTTCAAATCCACCAGCCGCTCTGCAGTAGTAAAAATGAGGCTTCTGCATCCATGGAGACTAAGAGCCTGTGAAACCCCACAGAGGGCCGCAGTAGATTGGGACTGATTCATGGCAGTCTGCTTTTGGTTGTGGTGGTACAGTGGGCTAAGCATTGGGCTTGATAACATCACAAAGTCGGCGGTTCAAACCCACCAGCCGCTCTGCAGGAGACACATGAGACTTGCTGATCATGTAAATAATGACAGTCTGTGGAAATACTGTGAAACAGTTCTCTGTCTTACAGGGTTGCTGTGAGTTGGAACCTATTCAACGGCAGTGGGTGTTTTCTGGACGGAAGGGAAGGGAGAGCTGGGGCCAGAATTGGTTTTTTGGCTAGTCTCACAAAACACCAGTGAGACCAAACTGCTGGTAATCGCCATGATTCACAAGGAAAGCTGGCAGCTAGTCAGTCCTGGACCCAGCACCAAAGCCACAAGACACTGTGCGTTGTCAACCTGAAATGAAGTCGTACTTTCTGTACACACCTCTGGGTATTTTGTATCCGGTCTCCCCCGGCTTCCTGAGATTCCTCAAGATGTGATCTGAGTGGAGGTTTATCAGCATACCTGCTAACCACATGGCGAGACCTACAAGAGAAGACACACAACCACTCTGGTCAATGAACCGCGGCACTGAAGAACTCAGACCCGACTGGGCAGTGCTGTTGTAATACTTCCTGTTGTAAATCTGAGGACCACCCACCTGCTGCCACTGGTGATGAAAATCACCCAACAACTACTGTTTGCTCCTCTTTTGGAGAGGTGAAGTCTCCTGCTGTGGTAATGGACTGCAAACCACAAGGTCGGTGGTTCAAACCTACCAGCTGCCCTTTGGAAGCCCTATACAGGGTCACTGTGAATTGGAATTAAGTTGATGGCACGTAACAGCAACATTTGGAAAGTTGAGCCCTGGTGTGGCGCTGTAGGGTAAGACAAGCGCTATACAGCTAACCTCACTAACTGCTCACAAGGTCGGCAGTCCACACCCACCAGCCGGTCTCTCAGAAACCCTATGCAGGGTCTCTGATTCAGAACTGGCTTGATGGCACATAACAACAACATCTGGAAGGACACAGATCAGAAACCCTGCTGGCAGGTGGGCGAGATTGGGCTTTGCTTTTGCAACAAGACTAATAAACTATCCAAACCATTCGAGACTCTTGCTACTTATTTGATGGTCAGGAAAAAGGATGGTAGCATGATTGGCGAGGTTGGAGACACGGTTTAAGCGATTTGGCACAAGGCTTCTGTCTAGGAAAGGATGTCCCTCCCCTTACCAGTGAGTCAGCCCCCACGGTCTCTTCGTCTGTCACACGCAGCTCAACACAAGCTGATGAGGTGGCAGGTTAAAGTATGAGCTCACCGGCTGCTCCTCTGAAGATACGGAGGAGAAAGACGTGACAATCTGCGTCCTTTCAGTCACAGCCTTGGAGAGCCTCGGGGGCTGTCTATTTTATCCTACAGGAGGCGAGGAGTCAGCATCTCCCCATGGCAGTGGTTCGGTTTGGGGTATGGTACCATGTCTTCCTCACAGAGGACGAGAAGAGATATTCCAGCACCTGTCTGTCTAGGTGAACGAATCGGTCTTACAATCCATCTCAGAAGAGAGGATGGAGTGACGTGGGATGCTGCACTTTGGACGCGTCGTTGGGAAGGACCGAAAGCTCTAACCGGGCACTGTGTCCAGGAGTTGGGGTGGACACAGCTTTCACAAAAATGGACTGAAACACATCACCAGTCATGAAGACGGTGCAGGACCACATGACGTGCCATCCTGTTGTGCTGTGCGTAAAGTCTCCATGAGTCCGAGTCAACTTGAGTGCAACTAACAACCGCAGCAGAAGGCCTCTGGAGTTCACCTTTGGTCGTCTTCTCATCTTTCTTTGAAAACTTGTTCAGAAACACATGCCTCTGACTTCCTCCAGCCCTGGTCTCCTGCCAGCGCATCAACCAGCAAACCTAGGGCAGCTCCCCCACCTGGGGTGGGGGTGGGAGGGAGCTGCAGCACCCTCGCTGGCTCCCCTGGATGTCCATCAGCATCCTGGATGTACTGTCTCCCCCATTCTACCACATCTCTACAGCCTTTCATCATAGAAGACTTCTTAGCATCACTGCAAGCAATTCCAACCGGAAGAGACAGGCATGAAATGTCAGCAACACAACAACGTATTGTTTTGTAAAAGGATTAACTCCGTTTGAGACCTAGAGATTGACGGGATTCTTCCAAGGCCTTTCAAAGAACATCTGAGAGTACTTAACGGAGACATTGAATTCATTGTTACAGACCTGTACCTTTTGGGGGATGTTCTTTAACTGTCCCTTGGTTCTTCCAGGGATGCTCCTGGGAACGTTAGATCATGCTTTACAGTGAGAACTAAGGCATGGAAGGCCTTCTGGTCTGCAGTGTGGTTTCAGGATTTCTTCCTTTGGATGTCACCATTGTGAACTGCTTTCATTTTCTTATATAGTTCAAGTAGAATTTTACAATTCTTCTCAAAAGCTACTGAATTGAGCCAGGAACATACAGTGGGGTAGGTAGCTCAGCTGGGCCTCAGATTGTATCCTGGGTAGCCTGGCTTCCAATTTGAGGTTTGAGAGAAGCTTCATGTCCTGGAAATCCCATACTGACACTCTCTTCCTTCTAGGTGACAGGCTCTCCTGATTGCTTGTCCTGGTGAGAAAAGCCAGCACTTCGGCTTACAGAACCTAAACACCAAGTTTCATGTTTAGGAACCTTGAAGACCTTTGCATGAAATTTTTCAGACTCACCATTTTTACTGATATGACAAACACTTTGTTAGAATTTTATTTTTGTGTTTGGTTTAGTTCTTTATGCTATCATAGTATATACAAATCGGCCTGCGAGCTGCAAGGTCAGCAGTTCGAAACTACCAGCTGTTCCATGGGAGAAAGATGAAGCTTTCTGCTCCCGTAAAGATTTACAGCCTTGGAAACCTTGTGCAGGGTCGCTATGAGTCGAAACCGACTCCATGGCACATAACAACAACAATATATACTATTATTAGGGGTCCTGGTATGGTGCTGTAGGCTCAGCACTGGACAGCTAACTGCAACGTCAGTGGTTCAAACCCACCAGCTGCTCCTCGGAAACCCTATACAGGGTTGCTAGGAGCCAGAACTGACTCAATGACACGAAACGACCACCACAAAGTCTCAGCCTTCTCCTGCACAGACACACTGTTACAGCACAATCACTGCAAGAAATGGTTTGTGTACAACTGGTCCTCTGTTTCCACAAGTTCCACATCTACGGGTTCAACCAATTGAGGATCAAAAATACTCAAGGGAAGAAGACAAGACAAAGCGACCCCCCAAGGTGCTGTTTTCGTAGCATTCACACTGTATCAGGCATGACCCTGAGATGATTGCCAGGAAACCAGAGGAGATGCGTAGGTTCAATGCAAATACTGTTGTTGTTGTGCCTAACAGCCATCCAGTCTGTTCCGACTCATAGGGGTAAAGCACTGGGCCACAAGGTCGGCGGTTCAAATTCACCAGCCGCTCCTTGGAAACCCTATATCGGAGCACTATGAGCTGGAACTGATTAGAAGGCACTTAACAAGCAGCCAGAGTGCTCCTTGGAGGCCAGGATGGCTAAGCTTCGTCTCTCCTACTTTGGACATTTGTCCGGAGAAAACAATCGTTGGAGAAGGATGTCATGCTGGGTAAGGTGGAGGGTCAGAGAAAAAGAGGAAGACCCCCAACGAGATGGATCAGCCAGGTGGCATCATTGATGGACTCAAGTGTGGCAGCGGTAGTGAGGTTGGCCCAGGATCGGACATTGTTTCGTTCTGCTGTGCATGGGGTCGCTATGAGTCAGTTCCGACTCGATGGCACCTGACAACAACAACAACAACAACAACATAGAGTGTCTGAGGAGTGGCTAGTGGGTTTCAACTGCTGACCTTGAGGTTTAGCAGTCCAGTACTTAACCTACAGCCCACACCTGGACTCCGCGTAAAGAGTTGTTATTGTTGGTGTCAAATGCCACTAAGCCTATTCCGATTCATAGTGACCCTGCACAGGGTTTTCAAAGAGTGGCTAGTGGGTTTGACCTGCCAGCCTTGCGGTTCAAACCAACGTTGCAGTCTAGTGCATTAGCCAGCAGTGCCACACCAGGACTCCCTCTTATATAAGGGACTTGAGCATTTTAGGATTTGGGAATTGGTGGATGGGGGGTGATTCTGAAACCAATCCCTTGAGGACCCCGAGGGCTATTTGTCTCCTCACAAAAACTATAATACACGGACGGAAAACGAAGTGAAACACAAGCCATCATCGCCTGTGTGTCTCAATTTGGCATTGTTGTTCTTTAGTGCCAGTGAGTCGGTTCTGACTCATAACAACCCTACACAGGGTTTCCAAGGAGCAGCTGGTGAGTTTGAACCGCCAACCTTGTGGTTAGTAGCCCAGGGCTTATCCTACAGCGCCACCCCAGAAATCTTGATAAAATCGTAGAGAACTGTCCAGAACTTCGGAGTTCTTCGTACAAGGTCTGGCCATGTGGACATATTATCCCAGACTCAGTGTTGCCCATAGAGTGACTTTAGGCGACACTTATGCTCACAGACCAAAGTGCCTCTTATTGATCAGAAGCCTCCTAAAAAGTTCACCAGAGAATTGATGCCTATGTGGGAACCCACAGTCTGTACTTGAAATCTGTATTTTCGGGTTTTCTTCTTCATGTCCTCCTCTGCTGTCCACCAGCCTCGGGCCCTGGGCAGGCTGCCCACGCTCACAGGCCCCTCTTCTCTTCTGCGGAGTGCATACTCTTGGCCCCAGTGCTCCTGGCTAAAGGCCAAGTCAAGCTTGTTCCTGTTGTTTAGACAGTGGAGCTGCCCGAAAACACCGTGCACACAAAGCAGACACATGGAAGAGATGCTTGGGCCCCTTGCAAACACAATCACTTAGCCTTGCCGTTCATGGAGCCACAGGGTCCTGGGGCCAGAAGAGGGCCCTAGGCTTTCTCAGCCAACCTCCCTTTGGTACAGTTCTCAGGTGCCAGGGGACCACCGCTCCTGGACAAACAAACAAAACCGAAGGCCACTGCCCTCGGGTCGATTCCGACGCACAGTGACTTTGTGACGGGTTTCTGAGGCTGCCAGGTGATGCTGGGACAGACAGTCTTCCACAGAGAGGCTGGGGGTTTGAACTTCCAAGCTTGCGGTCAACAGTCCAGGGCTTACCCTACAGAGCCACCAAGACTCTTTACACTTCTTGCAGTGAAACAATAATCCATGAAAAAAAGAGCTAGCTGAGAAAGGTCAAAGGGTTTCATCAACAACAAATTCTAAGTCAAAAGTTGTTTTTTCCCCATAGGATAGACTCTTGCACAGAGAGTAAGTAGAGTGGGGCTTCAGGTCAAGAGCAAGGGGGATGCTCGATCACTCAATGGACCAATTTCAGAATCTTCTGATGGCTACTGTGGGCAAAAGTTACTTTGGAATGAGCTGTGGTTTTTGAATGACAGCAGAAAAAACTAAATAAACACAGGGCAGAACTTTGACACATGAGTACAAGAACTCCGAGATGGCATGTTTTTAATGGACTTGCAAATAATATTGATTATTGATTTTGTCTTTTCAGTCTTGCTCAGACCCTGGAAGTTGTGTTGCTGTTGTGATCAGATGCTGGTGGGTTGGCCCCGATTCGGGGGACCCCAGGCACAGTTGGGCCCTGTCCCATCCCCATGGTTAGCAGTGGATGGGGCTGCTGACACCCAGAGGGTTTTCACTGGCAGATTTTCTGAAGATTGTCAGACCTTTCTTCCTCCTCTTAGTCTGAAAATTGCTAAAATCCATTCAGCATCCTGGCAACAGGAAAGCCTCCCCTGGCAGGTAGGTGGGGGCTGTGCGTGAAATGCATTGGCTGGGAATGGAACCCGGATCTCCCACACAAAGACGAGAATTCTACCCCTCAACAAGGTTATATTAGAACTGGGGCAAATGAGACAATCCCAAGGGAGTCACAAATGTGCAGTAAATCATACAAGTGTGAGTCCGCCCATTTTTTCTCAGGGTGCAGAGAGGTGGTGTGGGAGGGTCAGTGCCTCCAGCACCATCTGCTCAGGCCTAGTCGTCTGTGTTTAGGAGGAACCCTACTGCTGCTGTGGGTGACACATTAGGCTGCTAGCTGTTGGGAGGTTGGCTCGAACCCACCAGCTGCTCTGGGGGAGAACGAGGAGGCCTGGAAAACCCTCTGGGGCTCTGTCCTGCAGGGTCATGATGGGTCGGAATTCACTTGATGGCAGAGCGCAGTTATTAATGGACAAAGGTATGTCACCTGGGCCCTTGGGGGGACAGCAGGATGTCTCTTTGATGGGGTGCTGGGCCTTGCTGCTGCTGTCTGCCTGGCAGCTTGCTGACTGTCCCAAGACCTGGTCCCAGTGACACCACTCACCGGTCAGGAAGCGGGGGTCAGTCAGCCAGTCATCAGCATACTCGGCATACTGGCTCAGGTACCTGCTCTGCAGGTAGCCGTTATAGGTGCAGAATATGAAGGCCAATATGAACGATATGAATGGCGTTGGTTTTCCGCCTCGAATCAGAAACGGGAAAATCAAAGTCCTGAGGAGAACAAGAGGCACAGGTGTGTTTCAACAAATAAAGAGGATCTTTCCATCACCTGATGAAGGAGGTAAGGACACGGAGGGTTAGGTGTGGGGTGTGTGGGAGAAAGACCACGCAGCAGTTTGCTTCGATCTACATTTACAGCCTTGGAAACCACGTGGGGCAGCTCTACTCTGACCTATAGGGTTTCTGTGACTTGGACCCGACTGGCCGGCGGTAGATTTGGGCTATCACCGTTCCATATTGACTGTCCTGGATTTCTGACCTCTTGCTGCCTTGCAGACATCCTTCTTGGTAAGAATCATGCAGGTTGTCTACATTAAATGCAGACTTTTCCGATGAATTCACGGTGTGTCAGGAACGTACGCCCTAGTGCAGGTCTGGGAGTCAGATGACACGGAAGGTGAAATAGATACACCGTGTTAGAACAGACTGGAGGCTTCACGATGCTCAGTTTCCACCTGTCCTCAAATCACCACCCCTCGGTGAGTCTGACGTACTGAGCAAATTGCATGTTGCCATGATGCTGGAAATACCAGCGCTGGTGCCCACGGTGGAGAGGTGTCAGCAGAACTTCTGACCTAAGACACACTAGGAAGAGAGGCCTTGCGACCCACAGGAAATGCCCTATGAATACCACGGTGCTGGAAGACGAGCCTCGTAGGCTGAAAGGGGTTCAGAGTGTGTAAAGAGTGGCTGCAATAGTGAATCTGAGCACGCAACGACAGGGAAGACGGAGCCTAGAAACAGAAAACCAGATTAGCTGAATTTAGATGTAGGAACTTGTTTGTAGGTGAACCGGTTCACAAGGAAATGCTGCAGGTTCACAAGCTCCTGCGCTGTCCTCCTCATGATCTCTGTGTTGGAGGCCAGTGTTGCGGCCAGCGTCAATGCGTCCAATGGAAGATTTTCCTCTTTTTCACTGACCCTATGTTTTATCAAACATGATACCCTTCCCTAGGGACTGCCAGCACGTCTAAATTCTCACCACGCTCCCCTCCAAAGAACATTCTGGCTGTACTTCTTCCAGGCCAGATTTATTCCTTCTTCTGGTCATCCAAGGCGTAGTTAGTAGTTTTTGCCGACACCATTGTTCAAATGCATGGATTTTTCTTGGGTCTTCCTGACTCACTGTCCAACTTTCACACACACATGAGGTGACTGGGCCAGGTGCACCTTAGTCCTCGAGGTGACATTTTTGCTTTTTAACACTTTAAAGCGGTCTTTTGCAGATCTGTTCAATGCAATATGCTGTTTATTTCTTGACTGTTGCTTCTGTGGGTGTTGACTATGGATCCAAGTACAATGAAGTCCCTGGTGACTTCAGACTTCTCTGTTGATCATGATATCGCTTACCGATCCAGCTGGGAGAATTTTACTTTTCTTTATATTTACTTGTAATCCACACTGAGGACCATAGTCTTGGATCTTCATCGGTGAATGCTTCATGTCCTCTTCATTTTCAACAAAGTCTTAACTATCTGCAGATCACAGTTTGCTAATGGCACTTCCTCTGATCCTGATGCCACGTTCTTCTTCATATTGTCCAGTTCTCCCATTATTTGCTCTGCATACAGATCAAATAAACACTGCGAGAACTACAACCCTGACTCACACTTTTCCTGCTTTTAAACCACTCAGCGACCCCCTTGTTCTGTTTGATTTTATTGCCTCTTGATCTATATACGAGTTCCACATGAGCACAATTAAGTGTTCTGCAATACCCACTCTTCGCAGTGGTATACATTATTTGCTATTTGAGTCACACAGTCGAATGCCTTTGCGTAGTCAATCAGACACAAGTCAACATCTTTTTGATATTCTCTGCTTTCAGTCAAGATCCATCTAAAGTCAGCAATGATATCCCTCAATCCACACCTTTTTCTCAATATGGCTTGAACTTCTGGCCGCCCCCTGTTGAGGTATTGTTGCAACATTTGCTGAATTACCTTTAGCAAAAACGTACCTGCACGTGACATTCATGATAAACTACAAACCAAACCCCCTGCTGTTGAGTTGATTCAGACTCATCGCAACCTTGTAAAAGGGTTCTATTTTTGCAAACCTTCCTAGGAGAAGAAAGTCTCATCTTTCTCCCTGGAGCTGCTGGTGGGTTTGAACTACTGACTTTGCAGCTAGTAGCCCAGTGCTTACCATACATTGGTACCAGGGCGCCTATATTAATAACCTTGCTCAATAATTATCATATTCCATTGGGTCACCTATCTTTGGACTTGGATGCAAATGTGAAACTGATTTGATGAATTAGACATGAGTGACCCAAGACCAGGAGAGCTGTGAAGGTCATGAAGAACATCGTACCAGAAGAAAGCAAAAGGTCAGTAATGAGACAAGACAGAAGGAAAAGCCCAAATGGATGTCAGAAGAAACTCTGAAACTGGCTCCTCAGGTTAGAGACACTAAAGCAAAGGGAAGAAGTGGGGAAGTAAAAGAGCTGATTCGAAACTTTCAAAGAGCAGCTCGAGAAGACAAAGTCACCTCTTATAACGAAATGTGCAAAGATCTGGAGTTAGAAAACCAAAAGGGAAGAACACGCTCAGCATTTCTCAAGCGAAAGGAATGGAAGACAAAATTTAAAGCCTCGACTTGCAGTACTGAAGGATACCATGGGCAAAATACTGAATGATGAAGAAAGCATCAAAGAAGATGGAAGGAACACACAGTCACTGTATCAAAAAGTAATGGTCACCAGCAGTATGATGAGACCTGGGGACTCCTGGGCCCAGGGACAGGGACATGGCCACGGAGGACCAGAGTGGAGTGTGAAGCATCCTGTTGATATGAATGAAGTAAGGGGAGATTCACAAGAACACTCATACTTGCAGATAGTACCCACTTGACCTGGCTTCAAAGGCTAGATGATCAGAACTCGGCTTGAGGAAGAAAGAAGAGGAAAGAAAAAGAGTAATCCACTACAATTTGATGAACTTAACCTATGCTTGTTAATGCAGTAGGTCAAAGGAGAGAACAAATATTTACAGTGAAGATCATTCCCACCCCCTTGGTACACAGGGTCAACAAGGATGGGGAACTTAGACATTGGCTACTCAAAATGGGAGGCTACAAAGGCATGAAGTGACTGGCTTTCAAGTTTTCAATAGGGAACTTAGTTCCAGAGGGTGCGGGGAAAGGTAGACTCTCCACTGAGTGTTTCCAACTGTCTGGTTGGGTCTGATGAAAGGAGATGGGGATAAGACTTTTGTGGTTCAATAGTAAATGTTTGCTATCAGAACTGACTGTGAGTGTTGGAAAGGTAAAGCTAGATGTTTTGTAACAAAAGGTGGGGAGTGGTAGATTTTGCAGTCCAGGAGTGGAGGTCCCTGGAACTATCAAGGGAGAAAAGCAAAGTGCGGGACCCTACCCAGAGAAGCAGTGACGCCAGAGAAGGAGGCAGAGACAATGACGTGGAGAGATGGAGCAGCTGGGGCCTCTATAGACCTAGAGAGGGAGAGGGGCTGTGTGCTGACGACCAAGAGGCAGGCTTGCGGATGTACCCTTTGGTGGTTTGATGACACACTCAGGAGTTTGTAATCATTGCAATGAAACGAAATTAGATAGGATGAATGTAAAGCTAATGTTCTCCCATGTAAACTATCACATAACTGATGTTCAACCATTACTACAGGTAGCATACAATCAAGAGCCAATAACCTTTAAGGAAGAAGTCCGTGATGCTTTGAAGGCATTGGCAAAGAACAAGGCTCCAGGAATTGATGGAATACAAAGTGAAATCTTTCAATGAACTGATGCAGCACAGGAGACACTCACTCATCTCTGCCAAGAAATGTGGAAGACAGTTACCTGGCCAACTGACTGGAAGAGATCCATACTGGAAGAGATCCATATCTGTGCCAATTTCAAAGAGAGGTGACCCAACAGAATGCAGAAACCATGAGACAATATCATTAATATTACGTTAAAGTAAAATTTTGCTAACAATAATTCAAAAATGTCTGCAACAGCACATTGATAGGGAACTGCCAGGGGTTCAAGATGGATTCAGAAGAGGATGTAGACGTTGGATGGAGCTTGGCTGAAAGCAGAGAATACTAGAAAGATGTTTACCTTGTGCTTTACTGACTATGCAAAGGCTTTTGATTGTGTGGATCATGACAGGCTCTGGACAGCATTGTGGAGAAGGACTACTCCGGAACATTTCACTGTGCTCCTGAGGAACCTGTGCAGAGACTAAGAGGCAGTTGTTGGAACAGCACAATTGAACACTGAATGGTTTTAAATTAGGAAAGGTGTGTGCCAGGGTCGTATTTTTTCACCATACGTTTTCAATCTGTACGCTGAACATATAATCCGAGACGGTGTATAACATGAAGAAAACATGACAACAGGGTTGGAGGAAGGCTCATTAACAACCTGCGATATGCAGACGATATAACTTTGCTTGCTGAAAGCAAACAGGACTTAAATACTGATGAAGAGCAAAGAGCACAGCCTTCAGTATAGATTGCATCTCAATGTCAAGAAAACAAAAATCCTCACCACTGGACCAATAAATAACATTCTTATCAATGGAGAAAAAATTGAAGTTGTCAAGGACTTCATTCTTCTTGGATCAACCATCAATACTCATGGAAGAAGCAGTCAAGAAATCAAACAATGTATTGTATTAGGCAAATCTGCCGCAAAGACCTCTTTAAAGTGTTCAAGAGTAAAGCTGACAACTTGAGGATAAAGGTGCACCTGACCCAAACCATGGCATTTTCAATAGCTTCGTATGTATGTGAAAGTTGGACAGCGAATAAATAAGACCATAGAAGAATTGATACATTTGAATTATGGTGTTACAGGACAATATTAAAAGTACCATTGTTGTTGTTGTTGTGAAGTGCCGTCGAGTCAGTTCCGACCCATAGCAACCCCGTATAGGGTTTCCAAGGAGCAGCTGGTGAGCTTGAACTGCCAACCTTGCAGTTCAAACAGCTTTGCAGTCTGGCTCATTAACCCACAGCACCACACCA